TTGGGCATTTATGTCAGATATGAATCGCCGTCAATTATAAAATATCTTGAACCAATGACGGGTGATTTATTCACTGCAAGATTTGCAGATTGTCATTTTGACGAATCATATTTTCCGACATTAAGGGGAGACAGAAATGAAACGAGAAAGGATATTAATTGGAAAATCCAATTGAATTTTTATGATCCTCGTACAAAGCAGTGTGAACTAGAGTTCAACGCATTATACATTTGCAAAATATTTCAAATCAGTTACCGGATGCATTCAATGACTCGAGCAAAGTCACTCGATCATATATCCAAGTTGCTAATGCTCCGGCTAAAATAATTGTCCCTGATAGACAAATTACAAGTGCTAATGAATCAGCGACACGCTTAAAAAGTGCGGTAGACCACTTGGTTCCAAAGACAAACATCCTCGAAAGAAAAGAGGAATTAATGATGATAATTATAAAAATATCAGGAATGACATTGATAAACCTCAATCTAATGAGGAAGTCAATCCTGAAATAATTGCTCCAGAAGAGCACGATCTTGAAGAACATAATGAGATTATTGAAAACTCAATTAACTATGTTACTTCAAGAAAATGTTGGAACCGTAAAGAGACAATTATTAATAATGCATTCGCTTATAGTTTAACACTTGATATAATGGAAGAAAACGAGGATCCTGAGCCAAAATCGGTTCATGAATGTCAGTAAAGAAATGACTGGCCAAAATTGGAATATGCTATTCAATCAGAGGTTGATTCATTAAACAAAATGGAGGTCTTCGGACCAATTATTCAAACACCAAATGGTATAAAACCAGTTGGATACAAATGTGTTTTTGTACATAAAAGAAATGAGCATAATGAAATTGTGAGATATAAAGCCCGTCTTGTAGCTCAAGGATTCTCACAAAGACCTGGAGTTGATTTTGATGAAACATACTTTCCAATTGTCGATGGAATAACATTTAGATACCTTGTGAGCCTAATAGTGCGAGAAAAGCTCGATATGCGTTTTTTAAACATAGTTACTGCATATTTGTATGGCTCCTTAGATATTGATATCTATATGAAGGTTCCTGAGGGATTCAATATGCCTGAAGCATACAAATTAAACCTAAGAGAATCGTATTCCATCAAATTGAAAAAGTCATTGTATGCACTTAAACAATCAGGGCGAATATAGTATAACCGTCTGAGCGAATATTTAATAAAAGAATGTTATATTAATGATCCAATATGTCCATACGTCTTTATAAAGAAAAATATATCGAATTTTGTCATTATTGCAATATATGTTGATGATCTTAATTTAATTGAAACTCCTGAAGAGATCCAAATTCCAGTTCAATATCTAAAGAAAGAATTTGAGATCAAAGATGTTGGAAAGACAAAATATTGTCTGGGATTACAAGTGGATCATGCGAATAATGGAATATTTATCCATCAATCCACATATACCCAAAATGTATTAAAACAGTTTTATATGGATAAATCTCACTCTGTGAGTATACCAATGGTGGTTAGATCCCTTGATCCCAGTAAAGATCCATTTAGGCCAAGAGAAGAAAATAAAGAAATACTTGGCCCCGAGGTACCATATCTCAGCGCTATTGGCGCATTAATGTACCTTGCAAATTGTACCAGGCCAGATATATCTTTTTCAGTAAATCTACTGGCCAGGTTTAGCGCATCCCCCACAAAGTGCCACTGGAATGGTATCAAGTACATTTTTCGTTATGTTCAGGGGACTCATGACCTCGGTTTATTTTATTCGAATGAATCTCGAAATAAATTAATGGGTTATGCTGATGCTGGTTATCTGTCTGATCCACACAAAGCAAAATCTCAAACTGGCTATTTATTTACTTGTGGTCGAATCGCAATCTCTTGGAGATTTGCTAAACAGACAATAACAGCTACCTCTTCAAACCATGCTGAGGTTTTAGCAATTCACGAAGCCAGTCGTGAATGTGTTTAGTTGAGGTCTATGACGTACCATATTCAGAAAAATTGTGGCTTGATTTCTGATGATGTATTACCTCCTACAATATTATTTGAAGATAATGCAGCTTGTATAGCTCAATTAAAATGAGGGTATATAAAAGGCGATCGGACAAAGCACATATCTCCAAAATTCTTTTTCACTCATGATCTCAAGAAAAGTGGTGAAATTAATGTGTAACAAATTCAATCGTCTAAAAATTTTGCAGATTTATTTACGAAGGCGCTACCGACTGCAACATTCAACAAACTGGTGCAAGGAATTGGAATGCGTCGGATGAAAGACATCAAATAAAGTCTAAAACAGGGGGAACGCATTAATACAAGAATGATGTACTCTTTTTCCTTCACTATAATTTTTTCCTACAGAGTTTTTTCATAGTAAGGTTTTAACGAGGCACATTCTTTGAATAAAAAAATATTCAAGAGGGAGTGTTATATACATATGTACACGTAGCTACACACACATTGATTCGTAGATATAGTGTAGGCCCAGACGTAGATGTTTTTGATTTGTATGAAAAGTCTATATACACCTATGGAATCGTAGAAATGAAACACATCAAAAATTCACAAATCATTTTCCCATTTCTCTTTGCATTCATTGCTTTCCTCTCCTTCTGCATTTATTACTTATACATACATAATATATATTATATAATATAATAAAATACATACATATATATATATATTTGTATGCATATATACACACACACGCCCGTACACACTTACACACGCTTACCTTTAATATATATTATCATTTATATAACACTCTTCAATTTATCCCTACTTCATATTGCAGTCATGTTATTGGGTTTGTTTTGCTTAAAATTATTTTTGGATACGATTTTTAATATTTATATTTTATTTTTTAAAAGAATTGAACATTCTATCTAAATTATTATTTTTTATATTATCAATATAATTTTCTATATTTCACCTAAAAAATATTCAAATTAAAACAGAAACAAAACTTAAGTTATTATTATTATTATTATCATTATGACATATCATGAAAGGGGTTTGTGTAAAATACAAATGATCTTTATTTCTCTCTAAATTTCAATATATTGAGAAGTGAGTGTGTGTTTGGATGTAGGTTTTGAAGTTATATTAAATAATTAGTTGATGTGTTATGATATTTTAAATGTAAAATAAGTTTTGATGTAATATATCAAATAAAAAATAGTATATTTAATTTTTATAGAAAAAATTTGTAAAGAATAGTGAAAATTTTGGAGATTTATATATAAGTTAATGATCATGGCCTTTGAATTCCGTGTATATACTTAAATTCATGCAATGTTAAAAGAATTCATAGTAATCATTTGTATGTTTTTGTATTGGTTTTCAGTTCGAAAGCTGTTTGAATGCAATATCTTTTTTACAGAAAATAATATATTTTTATAAGGGTTTTTTTTTTTTGTAATTTCAAAATGAATTCAATATTATTCACTATTCTCAATTTTTAATAAAAATTTACTTCTTTCGTCCCGAACAATAGTCTCATTGTGGTTCAATATTGAATTTAAAGAATAATTATATTATATTTAAATTAGGTATAAAGCATATAATAAAAGAATAAAATATCGCTGTGAGTATATTTGTATAAAAAGTAATAATATTTGTATAATAATGATGAAAGAGTATAGATAGTTTTAAGATGGTATGATTATTTTTTAAAACGAGACTATTGTTTTAGAATTGACAAAAAAAAAATAAAAAATAAGACTATGATATTGTTTAGGGAGATATGGAGTACTACTATTTTCTCTTACAAAATATTATATCAAAATACTATACAAATAAAAACTCAAATTAACAATTTATTTCAAATAAATTTCAAATCATACCCAAACTTGCTGTGATTAGAAAGTAAGAAATTATAATTAAACTTTTAAAAAAAAAAAAAAACATCTTTTATATATATATATATATTCTTTTAAAAAAATATATAGGCTTCTTCAAAAGCATGAGTTTATTGGTGAATATCACAAGTGAAATACCCATATATATGCTCAAGTTGTACCTTTTAAAAATAATAATACTTCCTCCCTCCCACATAATTTGTCCTTATTTTCTATTTTCGTTCGTTCCATATAATTTATCTTTTTATATTTTGGAAAATTGATTATACACTGTAATCATATTTTAAAAATTTCAAATTTATAATTTTTTTTTTAATTTTAATTAAACTATTTAATTATTTTAATTTTAATCTATAATTATTTTACTAATCACTTCTTAATTACTTACTGATTATACTTTACCTAAATTTTCGTATTTACAGTAACACGCTCATCTTATCTAGGACGGAGAGACTAAATATTATTATTAGTCAAATATATATATATATATATGTATATATGTACATATACTTGTAGATTTGAGAATATGCTCCCATTTGATAATAATATAGTAGTACTCTATTGGAAGATATGAGCTTATTGGTGAATGCCACAATGATAAGATTGTGAAGATTCTGTTACTCAAGCAAAGGGACAGTTTACAAGATTTTAGAACCCTTCATGAATTCCAAGAGTTCATATATAATACAAAACTACATTCTCACCAAAAAGTATATATGCATACAAGATTGAGCTCATGCTCATCATATATATATATATATATATAATTTTAAATTTGAATTCCATGTTAGAGATCATCTCCACATAAATTGATCACACATTATTACATATATTATATTGTAATTATTTGTGGCTAACTTTATTCAAGTGTGCTCCCTATTCTCTTCCAATAGAGTATAGGCAACACCTCCACAAAATAGAGCCACCACTTGATTAATAATTTATCCAAAAAGTTTTAAATAATATTAAATAATGAACTCCAAAAGCTTAATCCAAATAATTTTATGCATTCATTTAATCTTTTGATTTATTTATTTTTTATTTTAAAAAAAATGTGCCATTTTGCAGTTACAAAGCTTCTATTAATATATTCAATGCTTCAAATCTAGTGCAAGTACTATAAATAAACACCACACCATAGTTCATTTCTTCGTCAAGAACCTCTTAAGTACACTTTCTTATACATTCCATGGATCACCAATCTTCTTATACTTCTTCCTCGATCACCATTGAACTCAAACTAATCAAAGCAAGAAACATAGAACCTAAGAGCCCATCTCAAGAACTATTCGTGCGATGCTACCTCCCGAACGGAAGCAATAATGGAAGATCAAGAATCGATAGCCAAGTGATCCCATCACAATCCAAGTTCCCAACTTGGGACCAAACCTTTTCTCTCTGTTGCTCGGGCACACGAGAGAGCATCAAGAGCCTCGAGCGAGAGGTTGTTGTTTTCGAGCTACGGTGTAGAACACGCGTACCAACATGCATTGGGTGCATGATCAAGAAAGGGTCAAAATTGGTGGGCCGAGCCGAGAGGCCATGGAAAGACATAGTCGAGGCGGGGGAAATCGGGAGAGAGGAGTGGGTTGTAATGATCCCCAAGAATGGATGGATTGATTGTGGAGATGTGAAGCCACCAGCAGTGAAGATGGCCATTAAAGTGAAAGAATTGATTCAAGAAAATAAGAAAGGGATCCATGAAATAAGGTTAGATGGATCTTGTGGCTGCAAGTCTTGTATGGCTTATGAGTTTGTTGTAATTGAAGCTGCTTTGGAAGCATTATTCTAGGATGATTTTTTTGACCCCTTTTTTTCAGAAAATTGGTGAAGTAAATTAGGGTTTTGTAGGATTTTTTTTTTTTTTTTTTTTTTTAAATTTTCACATTTGTGGGCAGTTAGAAATGTGGGAATATATAGATAGTCTTGTTTTTTGGGTCCCTTTGTGATTAATCAGAAGTAATTAAGGTGTTTATTGATATAATGACTACAAAAAATATCAATTTTGTAACAAAATTTTTTCGTTTTTAAATCCACTTTTTCCGCAACAAATTATATTAGAGACGAAATTAGGGATGAAATTACGTTAACTACGTGAACTTTAAGAACGGAATTCCGTTACAAATATACTAGTATATTTTTTTTTTTGGTAGTGAATGATTTAACCTTTTATGAATTTTAGCTGTCATTTTTCTTTGTTCTCCAACTCAAAGTATAAGAATTACTAATCTAACAATTTAGACCAAACTATTTTAAAAAAAACTTGAAAATTTGTGACTAAAGGTTGAACTTTTATTTAGCTTGATATATATATATATATAAATATTCTTAGGAATAACAAACACAAAAGTGGCAATGTTTGAAGCTAATATAATAATAATAATAAAATAAATCTTACACTTGAGTACGCATATATTATTATTTAAAAGAAACAGATTTTCATCGATACAACATATTTACTGGCAAATATTTAAATTTTTGTAATATATTTAATCAACAATTTCAGGAGAATTATCACTAATCCTTCAAACAACAGTAAGTGATAGAGGGCTAGAGTTGGCAAAAATGAGTATGCCCGACCAGATTTTTAAATTAAATATAATTTTATAAATATATTAACAAATGAATTTATGTTAAAAATAAAGGTTAGTCTAATTATTTAATTGAATAAAAATTATTTTTGTTTTCATTCACTATCATTGTTGGATTTTTTGTCCTTATGGTTCACCCCAAAATAGATACACAAATACACACTCGTTTTGCAGCCCGAGCACATTCGGGCCTGGCCCACGTCCCGACTTAGCATCCTGTCCCGACTTCACCGACCGCTCGAGTACATCCCGACTTAGTCCGACTTCGACCGTCCGCCCGACTTCGTCTGAATTCGACCGACCGTCCCGACTTCGTCCTGGCTTGGACCGTCCCGACTTCGTCCTGGCTTGGACCGTCCCGACTTCGTCCTGGCTTGGACCGTCCCGACTTGGACCGTCCCGACTTCGTCCTGGCTTGGACCGTCCCGACTTCGACCGTCCGCCCGACTTGGACCATCCGCATACATACCGACTGTCTGACCTTATTCCTCCCGACCTTGACCCACGTCCTGATCCGACCCGACTAGGATCCGCGTCTTTTTTTTTGCCACGCCCCTGGCCGTCCGATCTAGGGTTTTGATCCTATCCGTCCATCCGGTCTTACCTGTATATATATACCTGGGGTGAGAGAGGCGCCGTTATTCGATACATTACTCACTCTCTCTCTAAAAGCTCACCCTCTCTAGCCTTTCTCTCTCTCGACTTTTCTTTCGCTCTCCTGTCCGACGGTGGTTCACGGCGGTTGTTGTGTAGTGCCTTTCCTCCTGTTTTGTGGAGTTCCTTTGGCACTGGTTTCCCCCTGTTTGTGTTGTTCGTAGCCGAAAGGGGCTCGTTCAACTGTAGGCTTGTGGTTTCTGTTTCCTGTATGCCTTTTACTTTTCTGTGGGGTTTTTTGTGATTGTGAGTCGTGGTGTTGTGGCCGGTGTGCTTGTGTTAGTCGCGATTCGAGTGTGTATATGTATATGTTGTGTTTCGAGTGGTTAGGGGCTGAGCCTGGCCAAATCGAGTTAAAGTTTTGTTCGATTTTCTTAATAAAAGTTTAGATCCGTTCCGCATTTTTTAAATAACAAGTGGTATCAGAGCATTGTGTGCCTTTTTCTTTTTTTTTTTAGAAAATCGTTTGTCCTTCTCGGTTCTAGTTAGTTTTGGTGTAAATAGTGTAGATCTGAAAGGATCTGGTTGAATCGGACTTATTTTTCCAGTGTTCGGTTCTTTTTCCTTTTAGATCTGTTTTGAAACCGGCCAAGATAACAGTCGATCTGTGCTTTTTTAGCCTCGGTCGAGTGAGATCTGTGAATAGAGAGTCTTAATCGCTTCAGATCTGTATAGTCTATGTTAGTTGGGCTAAGTTTCAGTTAGTTTGTTACTAAACCGTTGTATTTTTTAAAAAACGGTTTTGTTTTTTCAAACTTTCTTTGTTAAACAAAGTATAAGTCAGGTTAGTTGCCTCTGTGTGGTTTTAGATCTGTTAAAATTCGTTTGGATCTCTTTACTGTGGAGTCTAACTCAAAAGTTTTTTTTTTTTGAAAATATTAAAAGTTTTTTGAAAGAAAAAAGTTCTTTAATATTCAAACTTTTCTCGTTTGAAAATTAGTAATAAAATCAGTAAACCAGTCTGTTTTTTTTTTTTTTTGCATTGTAGTGTCGGATCTGTGGAGAACACTGTTTCGGTGTTAGTTTTTCAGTGATTCTAACTTTTAGTTAGAAGAGAAACAAATTTTTAGTATTTTTGTTTCTTAAGATTAACCATTGCTAACCCTTATTCTCCAAAAAGGATAATAGGCCGTTTTGTGTTGTTCTCTGTTCCTATTTTTTGTAGGAATATTAATTTTTTTGTTGCTGTGCTTCAAGGGTAATCTCTAAAACCCATCTTTTACAATTACTGCTTTGTGTATGGTTTACTGCTTTGTGTATGGTTTATTTCTTTGGTGAATGGTTAATTGCTGCATTTAATTTCTCGCCGAAATCATCTGTAAAGGCTATTGTGAAACCAGGTTACTAAACTCTGATCCTCACATCAGTGAGTGATTCTCGAGTACCTCGGTTGAATAGTCACGAGTGTATGTTGTAATAGTTAGGTTATATCTTGTGATTAATTTTTTTTTTTTTTTTGCCTGCTGTGATTATCTGTTGTGTGTGATAATCTGTATTTCCTGCTCGTCTGTGTGATCTGTTGCCATTTTTTTTTTTTTTTGTTTCTGTTTTGTGTGAAAATTAGAAAATAATTTTCTGATCACTTAAGTAATATTTGTTTGAAATTAAAAATCTGTTTTTTCAATATAAATAAAATGGCGAGTCACTCTGGTTTTAGTATTCAACCTTTTGATGGAAAAATGGATTTTGCAATTTGGAAACAAAAAATGAGAAGTATTTTAGTAACTCAAAGGTTGATTAAAGCAGTGGAGCCTGATCATTCGATTCAAGTTCCTCTTGAGAGGAGGGTTGAATTGGATGAAATTGCTTCATCTACTATAATCTTACATTTGGCAGATCATGTAATTAGAAAAGTAGGCAAACAAGAATCTGCTTTGGCATTATGGAATAAATTGGATGAACTATACACTCAAACATCATTACCAAGTAGAATGTATTTGTTAGAAAAATTTTTCAGTTTTAAACTTGATTTATCAAAATCAATTGAAGAAAATCTGGATGTTTTTTCTAAACTAATACAAGATATTAAACTTACTGGTGACAAAAACATTGATGATTATAGTGCTATAGTTTTATTGAATGCCATACCTAACACATACTCTGATGTAAAATCAGCTATTAAATATGGGCGAGATTTTATTTCATTAGATGTAGTTATTAATGGTTTAAAATCTAAAGAATTAGATTTACAAACTCACAAGTCAAGTAAGGGTGAAGTTATGTATGCTAGGGGTAGGTCACCTTTTAGATCAAATAAGAAAAATAATTTTGGTAGTAACAAAAACCAAAATAATAATAATAAAAATAGATCTAAAAGTAGAAATAAAAACAGGTCTAAAACTCCTAATAAAGGGGGTAGAAGATGTTTTAATTGTGGTGACCCAAATCATTTTATACGTGAATGCCCTAGAAGAAATAAAAATAACAGTAATAATAGCAGTAACAATAGTCAAAAGCAGCAAACTAGTGAAGTAGCCAATATGACATTGCTTGATAAAATGTGTGATGATGTTTTTGCTGTTAAAACTGACTGTTCAAATGTGAATATTTGTGCAAATGAATGGCTTATAGATTCTGGTTGTACTTATCATATGACTCCTTTAAAATCAATTTTTAGTGAATACAAAACCTTAGAAAACTGCACTGTTTCCATGGCTGACAACAGTATATCCAATGTTCTTGGAATAGGAAGTGTAAATTTAAAATTTAACACTGGTTTTGTATTGAAACTAAATAATGTGAGGCATGTTCCTGGTTTATCAAATAACTTGTTATCTTGTGCTGCTTTGTCCGATTTAGAATTAGAGGGTAAATGGGGGAGTAATTGCATGAAAATTACTAAGGGGTCTTTAGTCGTGTTTAAAGCTGAAAAACGTAATAATCTGTATGTTACTTGCGCTGAACCAATAAATGTGCCTGTAAATTCTGTAAATTCTGTTTTAGAGAATAGTGAATTGTGGCATAAACGACTAGGACACTTAAGTAATAGAGGTCTAGAAATTTTACATAAAACTGGCTGTTTTGGAAATGTAAAATTTGAACCTGTTGCTTTCTGTGATAACTGTGTTTATGGTAAACACCACAAAGTGCAATTTCCCCAACCCCCTAATAATAATAACCGAAATTTTTCAAAACAAATTTTAGACTATTTACATACTGACGTGTGGGGCCCAGCTAGTGAGCCCACACAAGGAGGGTCTAGGTATTTTTTGTCCATTATAGACGATTTTTCAAGAAAAGTATGGGTTTTTCTGTTAAAAAACAAATCTGATGTGTTTGAAACTTTCAAAAATTGGAAAGTTAAAATTGAAAATCAAACTGAAAAGAAAATAAAATGTCTTAGGACTGATAATGGCTTAGAATTCTGTAATTCTTGGTTTGATATATTTTGTCAAGAAAATGGTATTAAAAGGCATAAAACTGTCCCCTACACACCCCAACAAAATGGGGTGGCTGAGAGGATGAACCGGACTCTCTTAGAGAGAGTTCGAAGCCTTTTGGCTTCTTCCGGTTTATCCAAGAAATTTTGGGGTGAAGCTGTTATTACGGCAGCTTACATAATAAATAGATCACCTTCGATTCCATTAAATGGTTTGTGTCCTGAATTTAAGTGGACCGGTAAAAATGTTGATTTTTCGAACATTAGGGTTTTTGGGTGTTCTGCCTTTATACGTACTAATAATGACAAATTAGACCCTAGAGCTGAAAAGTGTGTTTTTCTAGGGTACCCGGAGGGAGTTAAGGGGTATAGACTTTGGTTAAGATCTAGGCCCGGTTTTAAGGCCATTATTAGTAGAGATGTTGTGTTTAATGAAAATGAAA